ATTCAGTTTTGACTAGTCAGAATGACGTTACAGATATCTGTAATTCAGTTTTGACTAGTCAGAATGACGTTACAGATATCTTAAATTAAAATTCATACTAGTCACAATGACATTACTACTAGTCAAAATGACATTATAGATATCTATAATGGTAATTCCGGATAGTCGGACTTAGTGATTAAATGTTAAAATGGCTTGCCATAGACTACAACATCTTGGATGTGGTACCCAAGTGACCTGGGTCCACCCATGACGCAAGGATCCTAAATGAAAGTGGCCTGAAGCAGCTGTTTGAGAGGCACATTGTGCCACCTGGGTGTCACCTAATTGGGGATAAGGGATATCCCTTACGCCGCTGGCTTCTTACCCCCTATCAGATGCCATAGACACAAGGCCAAATGAACTGTAACAGGTTAGCCCAACAAAATGCCTAATTGTTTTAAATTTAAAATGTTTAATTAAGTTCATAGAATTTGGTTTAATAGGAGGGTTTATTCTCGTCACAGGGCACACAAAAGCACAAGAAGTGTGGTGGAGAGAGGAAATGGCCAGTGGAAGCGCAGATTCCACGTTCTGCATTCAGAAATACGGCACTGGAGTGTGCCGTATCATTATGGCATGAGCAATACTGCACAACATTTGTAAGGCGCGCAATGTCCCACTCCCACTAGCAGATGATGATGATGACGATGAGGGAGGAGATGGAGATGCGAGCGTCCCTAGAAACATCCATCCATCTGATAGTATCTCTTCTTCTCTCCAGTTTGGTTTTCTTTTTGATTCCATGTTGGTTTCAGCTTGGTGGACTGTGGCTGCAGTATATAGAGCCACTCAGTTAACCGCACACAAGTTAGTTGCCGGGCAGCACGGTAGTGTGGTGGTTAGCCTCACAGCAAGAGGGCTGCCGGTTCGATCCCGGGTGTGGGAGCCCCTCTGTGTGGAGTTTGCATGCTCTCCCCGTGTCAGCGTGGGTTCTCTCCGGGCACTCCGGCTTCCTTCCACAGTCCAAAGACATGCAGATTGGGGACTAGGTTAATTGGTGACTCTAAATTGTCCGTAGGTGTGAATGTGAGCGTGAATGGTTTTTTGTCTCTATGTGTCAGCCCTGTGATAGTCTGGCGACCTGTCCAGGGTGTACCCTGCCTCTCGCCCCATGTCAGCTGGGATAGGCTCCAGCCCCCCCGCGACCCTCAAGAGGATGAAGCGGTTAGAAGATGAAAAGGAATGAAGTTAGTTGCCTAATTAATGAAATGAAATGAAATTAATAAATGAAACATTTATTTTTGATTCATTGCCAATGTATATTTTATGTTTTGTATTATTTGTATATTATTGTCAAAATATACACTCCCAGTGTCCATTTAACTATTCACTGAGATATTTTTAAGATATTTATATATTCTTAGATAAGGGATTCCCTTCAGTGAATGGTCATTTCTATGGACTTGGAAGTGACGTCACCTAAATTTCCGTTTATGGCACATAGTACTGTCGTGATTCAGCTCTGAGACCGACACTTAAGATTCAGTCCTACACTTCACTAAAAGTATGAGTAGGACGATTGATAACTAACTTTTAAGTGCAGCTTTCAGCGAAGAATTTTTTAGTCATAAGTCGACTCTTAGCAGTGCTCTTAGGAGTAATTCTAAGAAGCTTGATAAATACGGGCCCAGTGACCGTATTCACAAAGAATCCTAAGACTAAAAGTAGCTCTTAGTGACGTCATTCTAAGAAAAATCTTAGAATTCCAAGAATTCTAAGATTTTTCTTAGAATTTTCCCTTTTTAAGATAAAGGTTATTCACAAAGCATCTTAGGCCTTAAGAGGGCTCCTAAGGTGAAAAACTGTTAAGAGGAGGGAGGAGGACTTTTAAGAAGCCCAGTCTTAAACAGAGAAGATGGCGGAAAGACAGAGAGGAAGGAGAGATATTCTCCGTATATTGAACGACAGTGATTTAATAAGACGCTACCGGCTTGATCGTGCAGGGATAATGTTTGTGAAGCGCTGGTACGTGCTGCAATCCAATGCGCTCCCAAGTCTGCCTCTTCTCTTGTGCCGTGATCCCGGGACCGAATTTCCCTCTTAAAACTCCTTTGTTCTCCTCCACGAGCTGCGCCAACAGCAGGCACTGCTCTTCTGTCCAGTTCGGCTTTCTCGTTCTTTTTTTAATCCATTTCATTTGTTGTTTTGGTCATTCTGCCAAATCAAACCGCTTTTTACAAGGAGGCCAGCAATCACAGTAATTGCTGACAGTTGAGTCTGCGTCCACCATTAATATCAAATAGATTAAGTAGTAAAATTACCAGCATGGCGAGTAAACATAACAACAAGAAAATCAATATAATAATCGGCATGTAAATGAGGTACGTTCAAACATTTTGAAGCTGTGTAACAATTAATTTAATTTGCTGAGTTTCATCATCATGACATAAAATTATTTTCACGATTACACATTTCTTAATAGCCTACAGTCTAAGTTCTATGATCGGTTCATTTCACTGTCCATTCATTACTAGGAGCGCATTTGTTTTTCTTTTTTCCTTTTTGTAACAACCAATCACAGCTTTTAGAAGACTGCGTCATACCTAGCAACAGGGTCAACCATACCACCTCACTAAGATAGAAGTTTCTGTCCCCTCCTTGCTCAGAGTTGCTCTCAGAAACTTCCTAAATCACTCTTAAGCTAAGATTCCTTGCTAGGAATATTTAGGTTAGTAAAAAGTTAGGAGCTCTCTGAGAGGACTCTGGGAATCTTTGTGAATACGGGCCCTGGTGTTTAACTCGGCTTTAACTTATTAGTTGCTTTCACAGAAGGGTGAAGGTAATGTGGGACATCAGATAAAATGGGACAAATAAGTTTTTACATCTTAAAATCTCAGCAGCCAGTCACCGAATATGTGATTGTATTGTTATTACATATGTGCTTCACATAAAACAATAATTTTTATTGGTAGCCTATAATATAAATACTGGTCCAAAGGTGAACCACTGATTTTCTCTTTTTGGTAATAAGAGTGCTGCAGATAAAACAGTAAGGGTATTTTTGACAACAAAAACAAATGTCAAATGTCTGACAAACTGTTTTTCATTTCATTTGACTCTGCCAAAATTATTAAAAGATTATTGATGTGTTACTTGCTTTGAAGGCCTGTCCAGGCTACAATAAATAGGCCTATCAAAGCATCAAAGCAACTACTTACTTTTCATCGTAGTGATAATAAGTCCAGTCATAGATAAAACTTGACAGTTGTCTTGAAACACACATTGTGACAGTAACAATATAATACAGGAAACAATAAAGCAATACTACACAAGCAGTATAGCATAACTGTATTTCACAATAAAGGCCCTTTTCCACAACACAAAAAAACCTGCTAACATCCACTAGCATTTGGCTTTTTTTTTTTGTAAAGATATTTTTTTGGGCATTTTGCCTTTAATGGACCAGACAGGTAAGCATGGGGGGGGGGG